TATTAAAATTAAATATTATAAGCTTCTTAGTTTATCAAGCCTACTTTTAGTTTAGTTCTTTTATAGTTATAAAATACTAAAGATTATTATAATCTAAAAAGATAGTTATAAATCTATTATTACCTTCTAAGTAGTACCTTTAATATTTAAAAGCTTTAATAATAGCTAATAGCTTTCTATTATATATTTTATAATTAAGTTTAGCTAAGATTATCTTTTAAGAGTAAAATACTATTAGATGTTATAATTTATTAGCTTTTAACTAACTTAGGATTACTACTATAGCAAAGTTTAATATATTAGTTTCTACTTTAAATAGGATTTTTAGTTTAAAATGCTTAAGTATAAATATTTGTATAAAGCACTTTTTAAAGATTTTAAAGACATTTTATGCTTTTTTAGTAAAAATAAACTTTATATTAGCTTTTTATTCTGCTTTTAACCCTTTTCATATTTATTTATAATCCTTGATTATATTTAACAACGGTATAGTAATTATAGAGTATCTCTTAATAAATCTATAATAGAAGTTGGCAAAGCCTAAGAATTAGGCTATATCCTATATATTCTTAGGTTTAGGCTATTCCTAAATGATAATAATATATTCAGATTTTATTTAAATGCCTTTTGTTCTAATTATAAAATCTAGAAAATATACTTCATTAATTTTAAAAGTATATTTTAATAGCTTAGTATATAACTTATATTATTATAAGTAGTCTAATATCTTACAAATATTTTTTTTATAAATAGCTTTATTCTTTAAATATATAATAATATTATCTAGATATATTATATAGCTTATATTTAAAAAATTACTTAGCATTTAGTTTATATATAATTAAAAGATTGCTAGGATATTTACTAGCTTAAATAATATAATAATATATTTATAATGTCTATATTAAATATAAAAAGCAGTTTTCTATTTATCTCTCTTCTTAATTTAAATATAATAATATATATCCTAAAGATTTAGTTATATAAATATTAATATTTTAAAAAGCTAACTTAAAATCTCTCTAATTAATAGTAAAGAGTATTAGTTCTTAATTATAATAGCATTTACTTTTTAGTAGTTAATATATAATTATAAACTACTATCCTTCTTAGATATAAATAAAATAAGTACTCTAATAGAACTCTTTAACTTATAAATCTAGCTTTTAACTAGATTCTCTACTAGATATTTTTAAAGCACTTCTTATTCTTTTAGATTTAATTAATAAATTAAATAATATAATAACTCTTTATTAAGCTCTAAATTAATAATATAATTATAAATTATATATTTAAATAATACTATTATCTACTTCTCTAAGAAGATATTAAGATATAATTTTAAGTATATCAGTAATTCTAAAATATTAGTAGCCACTAGCTATAGAGAATTCTTAGTCTTCTCCTTATCTAGATTAACTTTTTTTATTATAACTCTTTTTAGATCTATAATATAAGTAATCTTTCTATCTTTTATAGCTTAATAAAGTTCTTAGACTATAATCTATTTTATATATAGTTTTAGCATACACTCTATAGGTATATTACTCCTGTTTTTTGCAGAATCTTATTATTATATAGTCCTATAACTTATATAATAAAGTATAAGCTTAGTCTTTTATTTAATAAGCTAATAGTAATATTACTACTTTATAATATAGTAGATATTAAGATTTATAGCTAAGTGCTATAGTAATCTAAGTATAATATTATATCTTTTTGTATTAATAATACTATAAATCTATTAAATACTTTCTAGTCTACCTTCTAAATTAAAAGTAATAATATTTAGCAAAGTCTTCCTATATATTAATATTAAATATCTATTAATTACTTTTATAGTTATAGTTAGACTTATTAAAGAATATATATTCTTTTATATTTATTCTTAATCTATAAAATTATCTTTAATAGCTCTATTAATTAAGATAAGTACTTTTATATAACCTTTTAAAATTTATATATAAATATATATACTAATATACAATCCTCAATTCAATTATATAATATATAGTCCTAATACTATAATAACATACTAAACTTTATTAGAAAGTTATTTTAAATCTTTCTTAAATCTTTTATTAAGATCCTTAGAGTAATAATTCTCTTCTATATACTCTTTTTTACCACAGTAAATACATATTAATAACTCTTAGGCCTTTAATCTGTCCCTAGAATCTTTAATTTTAAACTTCTTCTAGGAATAGTAATTATTATAATAATTATCTTTTTAATTAAATTTATTACTTTAGTCCAAGTTTTAATCTAAAGTCTTATTTTTTAAATCTAAATTTAGTTCTATAACCTATTTCTAAATAGCTTAAAATTCCTTCTTTTATTCTAGTATGGAATCTTCTATTTTTTAAAAATATACTATATAATTATTATACTTCTTAGATTTATTACTCTATTATATAGCCTTAATATATATAGACTTTATAATTTGATTTTTAAGATAATATTTCTGATTCTTATTTATATATATTTATTCTAAAAGGTATTCTAACCCTTAGATATAGATATTAAATTTAGATATAATTTAGTCTTTTTATTATTATATCTATTAATATTACTTATTTATATCCTGGTGTAATAGTTCTAAAATATATATAATATCTACTAGAAAGAATTTAAAGTCTCTTTATATTATATAATTAATCTTTATCTTATTTTTTATAAATATATCTTATTAATTAAATACTTTCTAACTTAGCCCTTCAATCATAATTAATATTTTCTATTAGTTAATACCTTTAAAGTCATAATAGTAATTATACTTTATAAAATAATATTTAAATTAAAGTTTAAAAGATTCTAATTTCTTTATATTAATATTATTATATTTCCTTTTAAATACTAGCTTTGGCTATTTTAAAAAAATAATTTTTATAAATATTTATAATCTCTTTTAACTCAGTAGCTCTTCCTTAGTTATTATTTTAATATTAATTACCCCTTACTCTCTTCTTTTTTCTTCTAAATTAAAATAATTTAAATCTTCCTGCATATTAAAGCTCTATATTAATAAACTTATTAATAATAAATATAATAGCTATTACTCTAGCTTCTTAAGCTTTTAAAGTATAATTTATACTATAATCCTTCAATATTATATCTCTATAACTTTAATTACTCTAGTTTTAAATTTAATAAGTTTATTTATTATTATTACTAAAAGATCTTTCTCTAAATATTCTATTAATAATTTTAATAAAACTATAAGTACTAGAGCCTTATTCTAAATTTTTATAATTATTAATTCTATAATTATAATCTTAGTATTTATCTTGCTAGCTATTATTAAAAATATATTAATCTTATCTTCTCTTTTATTATCTAACTCTAACTCTATAACTCTTGCTTCTTTTTTCTTTATTAGAATCTCTTTAATATTTAAAAGACATTTAATTAGAGATAATAGATCCTTAGGGGCTTATCTCTAAATATATAAAGAAATATATTTTAGAATTATTCTAGATAATAATTGCTAGGCTTTTATAAAATAAGTAATTAGACTATAATAGAGATTACAAGAATATAGCTGGGATTTAGCTTTGGCCTAGGAATAGATTTAAATATAGAATATATATATACGTATGCTTAGCAGCTAATCACTACTTTATGAAGGCCTAAGGCCACCTACTATTATAAGGCGGTGTGTGCCAAGCCACTAGTCCAATTAATGGCAGGAAGCCGGGCAAGGTCATATGCCCGCTGTACTTTGAAGCTATTCCCAACTCCATCCAGGATTCCGCCTTACATTTATACTTAGTTATAGTCTTTTATATATGATTAAAATATTTCTTGATTATCTTTAGATCTTTACATTTAGCACGCTCATAGTTATATCTTTATGAATATTATGATTTTAGCTTTAATTAATATTAAATTAGTTTATATATTTAATTCTTACCAACTATTTAATTTTTATGCTAAGAAAGAAGAATATTAGCTATATCTCGTACTATAGAAGATTAGGGAGATAAACTTCACTTATCTAGATCTAATATCTATTTTATAAGCGATTTCTCTTTAAACTGGGTTAATTTATGTCTATTAGTGCGTATTTAAGATCATTATTAGATGCCTTTTAGTTGATCTTAGAGAGTTATTTGAGGAATATTATAAATCTTTGCTGCTTATCCAATATTAGGAATTTTTTTATTCTATAAATTAGAAATAGCTAATATAATTTGCCCTTCTTATTCTTCCGATTTTGTACGCTTTATATCTCAAATTGGTGGCATATTGACGTGTTGAATATAGAGGATTGAATATTTTGACGCGTTTTCGGCGGAAGTGGCGGGTCGGTGGTGGTGGCGGTTCGGGGGTGGATTACGTTAACATACTGCCTGTGATTAGATAATACATCCATGCAGCGGCTCTGATTGGGCCACTTAGCCGCATTAAGCGTTCTGACTCCTGCCAATTGGCTGCTCTCCCATTGGCTGCACACGCCAATCGAAGGTCGCGAGATAAAGTCAAAACGCAACCAAGTCCAACTGCGCCGTGGAGCAAGCACGCACGAAAGAACGGTCCTCCATGTTGCATCAGCGGAAGAATCGCCCGTCTATACGTTAGAAGTTAGCACCAACGCGGCCGTGGCGTCTTCACGAGCTCCGGTGCCGTCTCAGAACATCGAGCTCGTCTCGCTTGAGACCGTTTCTCCCAGTACTCCCAGTACTACTCGAAATCCGCGTGAGCAAGCCCCGCACCCTGCTTTTCCTTCATCGTCGACGACGACTGCAGCTGCGCGTCGCACAACCACGCAGTCCAGTCCCCAGTCCGTCCCACATGCCGATACAGCTGGCAGCGGAAGCCAAGATCACGAGGAGACTCGCCTTTTACAGCCCGAGGATTTGAATCAGGCCGTGCTACCTGGGGAGCATAAAAGGAAGCCCCCTGTTGCTTCTCAGCCTCATATCCGCTGGGCGAAAGCTGTGGAACTAAGAATCAACTGGTCTGACAAGTTGCTTCGAGTCCACTACGATACCGTCAATATGAAGTTTTCGCACAGCATCCAGTTTAATGCCATTCCGGACTGGAGCGCCCACTATATAGCATATGATAACCTCAAGAAACTGTATGCTACACCCCCTTGACACCTGCATCTGAAAGTGCTTACTGACCGGATTCGTGGCGATGAACAGAATTTATAGTCTGGAAAAGCAAATACATCATCCTGAGAGCCATGGCGGCGTGGATTCAGAGTCCTCCCCTCTTCTGGACTCGTCCGCTGTTGATACCGACACCATTTTTCGACGAGCGCTGGACGTAGAATTGGAGAAAGTATGCTCGTTTTACCAGATCAAGGAGCTTACCGTCTTCGGCGAGGTAGAAGATGTCGTCAAGGAACAGGCGCAATACAAAGCTAGCACAGATGGCGTGAATATGGAACCTGTGACTGAGACAGTAATAAAATCGCGAACATTGAGCAACGGGTCACGTCCACGCACTGGAAGCATTCTCCAATCCCTGGGCTTGGGTTCCGTTCATAAACGGCGCTCGAGTACCATAACGGGAGACGATGATGATGATGACGACGACAACGATCGTGATAGCGATGACCCGGATTCGCCTACAGATGAGAGACGCCCTGGGTCTCGCTCGCAGCATTCGGAACGGTATCAGGACGCTGGTCATAGGTCCGATGCGTTCCAGAGCGACATGGGTGATTCGCGATTATGGCATAATGGTAATTCGCGGTTCGAGGAGGATCAATCAGATCCACACTTCCTGCATCTCTACAATGCAGGTGTTGCTCTAAAGAAGCGAATGATTGACGTTTACGTTACTCTTTGCGAGCTAAAGTCATACATACAACTCAACAAGACGGGTTTCTCCAAGGCACTGAAGAAATTTGATAAGATTTTGGATCGCAGCTTACGGAGACCGTACCTTAATGGGACCGTTTCGCCAGCTTACCCTTTCACCGATACGACATCGGAGCGCGTGGATGAGAATATCCGCCATGTGGAGCAGATTTATGCTGATGTTGTTACTAGGGGCGATGTGTCGCTCGCAAGGAGAGAACTCCGACTTCATCTGCGAGAACATGTTGTTTGGGAGAGAAACACTGTATGGCGAGAGATGATTGGTATTGAGCGTAAAGCCCAAGCTGCAAATATGGGAATTCGCCGGACGTTGCTGGGAGGTGATCCCGATCCGTCTCTTGCACAGCGCCAGGGGGATATTGAAAGCAGAGGGAAAGAATTGCAGACACCTCTTGGTCGTTATTATTTCCCCGCGTGGATATGCAGCCTGTCATTCTTTTCCCTGCTTGCCATCATCATCATATTTGCCGTCCTGCTCTCGGTGCCCATCATGGAAAAACCCGAGCAGCAAAACTGCTTGGCGATGCTGGTATTTGTTAGCTTGCTGTGGGCGACTGAGGTTATTCCATTGTTTGTAACATCACTCTTAATCCCTTTCTTGGTTGTTTTGCTTCGAGTCTTACGGTCAGAAGACAAGCCGCATGCTCGGCTGACACCAGATGTAGCAACCAAGGCTGTGTTTGCGTCTATGTGGACATCGGTCATTATGCTCTTGCTTGGAGGATTCACTATAGCTGCGGCACTGTCAAAGTACGACATTGCACGCCGCATGGCCACGTTTGTGTTGAGCAGGGCTGGAACGAGTCCTCGGGTTGTTTTGATTACAAACATGTTTGTTAGTATGTTCTTGAGTATGTGGATTAGCAATGTTGCTGCTCCGGTATTGTGCTACTCGATTATACAGGTGAGTCTCTTTTTCTTTCTGAGCCGAAATATTTAGTTTAGTCTTGCTGACTGTAATGTGTAGCCGCTCCTGCGCAACCTGCCACCAGAATCGGACTTCTCCAAGGCCCTTATTCTTGGAATTGCGCTTGCAGCGAATGTTGGAGGCGCAGCGTCTCCAATTGCGTCGCCGCAAAACATCATTGCACTAGAGAATATGTATCCCCCTGTGAGCTGGGGTACATGGTTCTTCATATCAATACCCGTCTGCATCATTTCGATTCTTACGATATGGGCTATACTACTTATCACATTCCAGCCTAGCCGGGGCACGACGATTGTTCCGATTCGCCCTGTCAAAGACCGTTTCACAGGCACACAGTGGTTTGTGACTCTCACGACACTCGCAACAATCATTCTATGGTGCTTCAGCCACCAACTTGACACCGTATTCGGCGACATGGGCGTAATCGCAATCATTCCCATGGTCCTCTTCTTTGGCAGCGGTATCCTAACTAAAGAAGATTTCAACAACTTTCTCTGGACCATCATCATCCTCGCCGCAGGCGGCCTTGTCCTTGGTAAGGCCGTGACTTCTTCAGGACTGCTGCACACTATTGCAAATGCGATCACCGAACGGGTAGCTCATTTCAGTCTGTACGGCGTGCTCCTGGTTTTCGCCGCCCTGATCCTCGTCATGGCCACTTTCATCTCGCATACTGTGGCCGCACTAATTGTGCTCCCGCTTGTGCAGCAGGTGGGCGTTGGAATGGAGAATCCGCATCCAAATTTGCTCGTCATGACAAGCGCGCTTATGTGCTCGGTGGCAATGGGACTGCCAACGAGCGGGTTCCCGAATATGAGTATGCTCCCCTTCTTTTCTTCCTTTCGCTTGGCGGTCAGCTGTGAGTGTACCTTTTGGCTAATGATTTATAGCTGCCATCATGATGGAGATTCCCGGAACAGGTCAACGCTACCTCCGTGTCGCCCACTTCCTGACTCGAGGCATACCAGCCAGTCTTATCTCGTTTGTCATTGTTGTGACAGTTGGCTATGTTTTGATGAGTATTGCCGGTCTGTAGCTCTGGAATTTCCCTTTCATGTATTTTGATATTTTAGTTGGATTACATATCCTTTCTTTTGGGTGAAGTGGCACGTGTCGAGTATATGTAGAACCATGTGCGCGAGCAGACGGATTTTTAGAGATATACGTAATACATAATTTTTGAAAAAAAAAAAAAAAAAAAAAGAAAAGAAAACTTCAATGAGCACATTATAATATGATTTGAGGAGAATACATCTCTGCTACTTCATAAAAAAAAGTGGATTAATTCCAAGGATGTTATCCCGGTCTGGCTGCTCAAGGCTTGGGTGTTTAGGGTTGAGCGTTGAGAAGTTTGGCTTATGAAATCAACCGCCAGGTCCACCGTTCCACACCGGAGAATCCGTTCCACCCGTTGAGGCTGCTGCTGATGATGACGTTTTATAGTATATTCAAGTCCTTTCAACATTCTAAAGCCTTTCCAAACAAAAGAGTACACAAAAGGAATGAGGGCGGATGAGCTATTGTAAAGGTCTTCAGCACTTGAGGGAAGTGACAGGCCTTTTAATGCATCAGCCTTGAACACTGTTTTACAGCTTGATATCATGGATGGGCTGTTGCACCTGGCATTTGTAGTAAGGTTTACTGGAAAAGTATGCCGCATATGAATTGGATGAGGCTTGAGTGAATCTTGATCATTGTGATATTGTATCAGCCGTCTTGCAACATAATTGACAAGGAACGTATCGGCTATGCTAGCTAAAACCAGTAAAATTACTCAATAGAGAATCCCACTGGATGTCGTCGACAAGGAAGGTGTCGTCGCCCAAATCGCCGTAGATAGACGGCCAGACTTGGGGTGTTGGAGCAACCTGATTGGCGCGAACTGCCATCATGGAAGACGTATCCTGCCTTGCGTCTTGGGATGGGGCAATTCCAACAATTGCCCTGACTTGATATGGATAACAGCGTGCTAGCAGCCGCATTTTAGAGCAAATGCTCCCTACCATGTCCGTCTCTTTGTCTACAGCAGACATTCCATCACATCTCGTCTCCAATGCGTTGGCAAGCTCTGTGACAAGATTGGGATAGTCTGCTGTATCAACAACGGCCTGCACCTGGGCTTCCACGGTAGAATCGGCGGTAGGGCCTGTAATGAGATCGAGAAGAGTAAATACTGCAGTGGGTATGTAGCCCACGGCGGCACATATACGAGCACTAGTAGTTATTGTTATTTGGGAAACCTCGGACACGGGTAGATTTCTGATAGTCTGAACGAGCTCCTTGCTCTGCTGGATTAAACCCATCAGCATGCTTGTCCGGACTGCGCTGGCAGGCTCTGCAATCCACAGTTCCTCCCGAAGAGAGAATTCTTCGAGCCGCATTTCCACATATCTAATTTCAGTACGTATTGCATTCACTACAACAGTCAGTCAATATCTCTCTCAACAACTTCTGGATCCAAGACACACCTGTTGGCAAAGGGCAGCTTGCGAGATCTTTCTCTATACAAGCCCTCACGCTATCAAATTGGCGCTGCAGCGAGCCACGCGTAATCTGGACGAGAATCCTTCCACCGCTTGCTTGCATCGAAGCGTAAGCTTCATCTATTGTGGCCATGAAAGACTGTAGGTGGATGAATGGCGCAATCCATCGATCTGACAGATGCTCAGCAGATGATGCTATACTCTTAATGCACTCATCGGTTCGAGCATCATGCTTCATGGTAACCGGCCGGCCGAGTGTGCTGCATAAGCTGATATACAGTTAGCCGAAGCTGCATCTACCAACGCAGGAAACCTCACCTAACCGACAGCCAATACGTGCCGAGCAGGGCCCGCTGCTCATCCAAATTTAGATTAGGCTTTCTGTGCAGTCCCAAATCATACAAGGTAGAAACACAAAACTGAATCAACAGCAAAAGTCGCGGGTGATATTTCTCTGCAGGATACGAGTACCATGCGCTGTGAACCAATAGACCACGGAGCAACTCAAGATTCCTCTCGGACCGTGCAACAACCCTTAGCGTAACGTGCTTCATAATCTCCTCGGCGACGATTTTGCGCAGACGGTGCGTACCGCTCATTGCCGCGGCCACGATGCACAAAAAGAGGAAAGGCTCTCGGTCCCTGAGGCGAGCGGCTGTTTCACCGTGTGCAAGCAATACAAAGGGGAACTTGGGAACCAGGTCAAGCTGGAATGTCGTAAGCAAGCGTTCAGCCTCGGCTTCACTCAAAAGCCCTCGATCTACAATAGACGGTTGGCCCTCCAGAGCAGAGCTGGTTGGTGGCTCGAGGCCGTGTGACGGGTCTTTGGCAGCATCTAGCAGCGCATCGATGTCAGTCGAGTCCAGCACGGGGTCATGAGATGAGCCCAAGTCGTCGATGAACGGATTAGAAGAAGTATCGGGCGATGTCGCCTGCGCGTTCTGTCGAGTCAAGACAGCCAGCTGCGACATCAGCTGGTCGACCTTCCTTTCAAGCACATCCACACGGCTGCGTTCATAATTAACAAATTATCAACAACTGCCATGTGCGTTAGGAAGGATTACTTAGGTCCAGCTCTGTGCTTCCGCCTCGTCTGCGGAAGGTCGAGGTATGTGCATGACTTGCCCAAACGAGCGCACCGCTGGCACAGGTTGGTGGTCTGCGGCGTGCATTTTGCCTTGGCAGCCGTACACGCTACGCATGCCCTCCTCTTGACTGCAGATACTGTGGCGTTCATGAAGTTCCAAGGTTGGTGGAAACGGAGCGGCTGGTTGATGTCGATGGATGGTTGCTGAGCAGTTGGACCGGAGAAAACGGACCATCCGGTCGGGGCGCTTTGTAATCCGCCGAATATATATAAAATTACTATATAAGGAAGTAAATCGCACGAACATCGCAATGGAATCAACAGTAGATCAATTTCCTCATAAATGAGCTATATATTTATTATTCCTTGAATAAAAATATAGAATGTCTTCATACGCCATCACCGGAGCCTCCAAGGGCATTGGCCGCGAGTTCGTGCGCCAACTCGCCGCTGACTCGGCCAACACAGTGCTAGCTATTGTGCGAGACCCCAACTCGTCCGCCATGTCTGAGCTCGCCTCCAATCACCCTAACTTGCACGTTATCAAAGGCGATGTTACGGACCCAAAGTCTATTCTGGAGGCTGCCTCAGCTGCATGCACCATCACAGGTGGCAAACTAGACGTGCTTATCCACAACTCCAACGCCGTTGATATGGCCACCATGCCCTCCAACCCGACCCAATTTCCCTTTGATGCCGAAGCCATCAAGGCAATGTTCGACCCGTCGTTCAATACGGCTATTTATGGTGGTCTTTGGACGACAAATGCCTTCCTGCCCCTGATTGAGAAGGGCATCCAGAAGAAGATTGTGCACATTTCCACCGCCATGGCAGATATAGATTTGATCAAAAAGACTGGTGTCAGCTACGCTGTTGCATACTCTGTCGCAAAGGCTGGGATGAATGTCCAAGTCGCCAAATACGCAGCAGAACTTGCGCCTAAAGGCATCAAGGTGTTAGCTTTAAGCCCTGGATGGGTTAATACGTGGGAGGGTAAGTAGTCTTTTACCTTCTTTGTTGCAACAATACTGGATACTGATGTTATCGCAGGGGAGAAACCACCTCAGGTGGTAGAAGCGAACAAGGTCATGCTGAAGCAGTTTCAAGCAGCCGATCCTGAACTCAAGGGGCAGATTCAGCCCGAGGAGAGTGTTAGAAAGTGCCTAGAGGTGATTGAGCGTCTGGATTCCGAGACAAGCGGCTTGCTCATAAGCCATAATGGAGATAGAGCAAGGTGGACATAGGTGAACTGATCAAATACTTGATAAAAATTCAGCTTGGAAGAGCTAGAGCAATCTTCCAAGGCTTGAAAACTTTTTTGACACATTATGATTTCCTTTTAAAACACCTCAAGCGCATTAACGGGCCTTTTCTCAATTGTACATTGGATTATTAACTTCCATTAGGTATAATTTGCAGAATCTAGCATTATTAATCATAGATAGCATCGAAATCTACTACACTAAGCTAAATAAAAGACGACCATAGCTGCATTTGGCATGCGGGAGTATGATTGTTGACAAGATGCATTGTTTGTTAAGGTGCTAGCAGTAACGATAAATATGAATATAGGAGAGGAGCATCAACTTGGAAAATGGAAAATTAGACACAAGATCCCTGACATAATATTAGAAGTATTCGCTCAAATCGATTCAACGTCATTGGTAAAGATCTTCCGAATCGTGGAGGGGGAAAAAAAAAAAAGAAAAAGAAAAAAGGTCGTCAACCCGTAACAGCTTGATTTTCGATCGTAATAGGCAAAGGAGAAAAGGGAATGTCGATTTCATTTGCTTTAATTCCTAGGAGCTATGAGTTAGGCATGTTACTAAAGCTGACAAAACGGGTTATTTGATATAGTTTCACTTACAACAACCCCAAAGTTAGATCACCATGAATCTTAGCCTTGAGTTGAACTTCAATATCCAGATTCAGATCCAGCCGCAGTCGGAGCTGCTCATCCTTGCCGCCATCATCATCCTTTTGTCCACCACCGAGCACTCCACCGACAGCTTTACCGGCTGAGTCGGTAACGCCATTGACGGCTTTTCCAGCTGTGTTTTGAACCATGTCTGTTGCTCCGTTGACGGTGTTACCGACATCGCCTACGCCTCCGAGAGGACCTAGTTGACCTCCGCCTCCTTGCTGCTGCTGTCGGCTACCGCCACTGCGGGCACGGTTGCGACGGCCGCCTCGTTGTTGCTGTGGTTCCATGTCGCTACGGTCGATTTCCTCGGTGTCTTCAGGATCTTGTTGTCTCCGTACTCTTCTATTTGGACGACTCTGTCGGTTTCGTCGTCGGGGCTGTGGTTCTGGTTCTGGTTCCGGCTCTGGCTCCGCCTCGGGCTCTGGTTTTTGTTCTTCTTCGTCGTCGTCGCCGTCAGGTTCTTGTTTTATAGTCTCGGATTGTTCTTCCTCTTCTTCTTGTTTGGGTTCTTCTTCCGGCTGATCTTGTTCCGAAGGCTTTTCTTCTTCTTTCTGAGGTGGCTCCTCAGCGGCAGGCTTCTTCCTGTTAAGCTTGGGTGGCTTCTTCTGCTGCTGTTGTTGAGGGGATTGAGAGCCAGCTGGGGAGTTGGTCTCTTGATTGAGGTCGGGGTTGGAGCTAGCTTGTTCAGATGACATGATGGAAAGAGAAAAAGAAAATCAACGGAACTTGTTTGACGGTTAGAGGGGAAAAACTTATATGATATTGACAGTAGATCACATCGCCTATATACATGATGAGGTGGAGGGATGTCAATTAGTGCTAACAAGGGAGCTCTCCCGACGTCAGACGAGGAGCCTAAGTCTGTGCTTGCAGCGTCATAACCCCCCACCGATGCACTGCGATGAATCGATCATGAGAAAATGACGTTTTGGGGTTGACCCTGTCAACAAGATCGGCTGGCCTCTGATTGGCTGCAGGGCGATCGGCCGTTGGATTTGGTAATTTTAGTAATTTCAAGCACGGGGAGGGTGGGGTGGCCACGACTCCCATGTGGGTGGCCCGAGCCCTGATTGGCTGTACTGTGACGTCAGCTTGATGATGTTCCTTTCTATTTGTGTCTATTTATACTTGTTTATGCTGTATGGAACGTATGGTCGTACTGCATTCCCTGGTACTACTCCAGTCGCTACGAGGAACGGGTCACACATATCATCATCTTTCATCCAATGAGTTTTGGCGCCATAAACAAAGACACAAGTCATACATATGTACTATGTAGCCATTCCGGGTGTGTTTCGGAGAAATCATCGGCCTGTCAACTGGGGGGTACGGTAATAAACTCGATTAATCGTCCCGGGCGTTGTGGCTTGAGCTGACAAGGTTGGTCTTCCGTCATAGTTTGATTAACTTCTAGCATAGACCGCTAGGCGAGAGTCTGACACCTAGTACATGATACCCTTAACATCTTAATGTCGAAGGTATAACGTCATGCAAGCGATCACTGTTGTCATCGCCAGTACTTCTGGCTCCTAGGTAAGTGGCGTAATTCATCCACCCCGCTATGTGCATAGCTATCTCAGGTAGAATGACGTCTAAGCCTATTCTGCCCCTTTATGTATACTGATTCCAATAAAAGAACTTTGTCTCCGCAAATTATTGCGGCCGTGAGCATACCTTAGTGATACAGGGAGGTTACTCGTCTTGTCTACTCCTCGCAAGAAAAGGAGAAGTGCAAAAATACACACTTGACAATAAACGAAGGAAAGAGAATTCCTCTTCGAAATACCCGCGGACATGGCCGCTACAGCAGAAAAGCCTAGAACGGAAAACAACCCCCAAGAGGAGGATGACTACTATTCCCAGGACGGCAGTGACTACGACTCCTATTCAGAAGACGACATAGATGAGCCCTTAACCGAGTCTGAGGACGAAGGAGGACAACAACAACAACACCGAAGGAAACCTCGCACACAGCAAGCTGAAGCCGACTATTACGATGATGACGACGACGACGACGAGGATGACGATTATGATGATGATGAAGACGATGCGGCGGTAGCTCCCTATGGGCGCAATGATGCTATGCAGCAGAATAGGCAAGGTGGTGGCAGAATGGAACCTGCTCCGGATGCTAAAAAGTCCGCAGATGAAGAGGATGGTCTGAAGCTGAAGGTGGAGGTTAATCTCGAGGTTGAGGTTGAGCTAAAGGCTGCTATACACGGTGACCTGACTCTATCTTTACTGTAAGTTCTTACTTTGTCCCCTTTTACACGCCTTTGATTCTCGCTAACTGTTTTATAAGTGCCTAAAATGGAGGAAAGTCCCTTTCAGTGCCGTCAACTCTTCGCTCTCGTCGAACCTCGCAATACGCAGCCCACACGTCACCAAGCCCTTTTGTTATGGCCGTACCGCAGCACGATTACAGTGTATAGATCAGCCTGGCCTCATTTCTTTTTTGTTTCTTTCTGTCGTCTTCGATGCATCGTAACGATTTTTTGTTGATCATGATAGCGATGTTTGATTGCTTGATATCTGATTTCCTTGTGATATGGATGCTATTTAATTCTGATAATCGATTTCCCAATACTCCTTCAAATGATCTACTATGTATTACTTGCAACTAAACAGGATCCTACATTGCCCTAACTATAACCCTAACCCTGAGTAAGCCGATACAGCATTGTGATTGGCTGTACCGAAATGAAGCCTGAGGCAGATTTTGTCGATTGAGGATCGTTGAAATAGTGACAGTGCAGATTTCTTGGAAAGACAAAGTAATAGCCCTCACGATTTATATACGTGTAGAAAATACTAGAAATCATGCTGCAAGAGTTATGTGTGAGTCTGTTCTCGGCGGCCTGACTAGCCTAGTGACGGCGAATTATGACCGCTATTCCGAATACAGCATGTAATCATCCTCCAACACCGTATTTCTCAGGGGTTGCACCTAATTGGCCAGAATAGGCATCAGATACATGTCTCAGTTGACCCGTATTCTGATCATAAATATGGCCTCAACCCCCCTGAACATTCTCTTTATATGCAATACTAGCTAATACAGCGTTCCGAATCCGTTGTTACCTAGCTACCTAGGTAAAAGCCGATCCTGCCTACCCGTGCGCCTGCAAGGCAACACCGCCAACGACCATCGCCGTCTTGTTTCCCGCCATCTTTTATTGTAAGCAATAAACGACTAGTTTTAGCGACAATGAGTAATACAGAGAATGGCTCCAATAACAGCCTCCATGAACGCCAAACCGAAGGCAAAGCGTCTAGCAAAGAGCAGCTTCAGCAGCAGCGTATCTGCGCGCATATGAACAGCGATCATCGCGATACTCTCTCGCTATATCTACAAGTCTACTGCAAAGTTCCTTCCAAAGAAGCGCAATGGCCAAAAATGGAGAAAATTCGGCTCGATGGAATGACCATTTCGACGGCAAACTCTCCAGACAGCAAATCGCGCACAAACTTCGTTGTACCCTTCGAGCCTGCCTTGAATGGATTCGGTGACGCTCGCCACAGAACCGTCGAAATGCACAAGTACTGCCTCAAGGCTCTCGGTCGCTCCGATCTTACTATCCAGGAGTATCGCGCGCCAACCGGATTTGCCGCCGTGATGTTCACCACGTGCTTATTGACTTTTATTGCTTTCTCTCGCCGAGCGCATTTCGAGCCGGGCTCTGAGCTCTACTCGCGTGTGTTTCAGTATGTCCCTGGCTTTGCTACTTTCTGCTACAGTATTCAGCCGCTTCTCATCCGCATAATGGCGGTGATTCACCTGGGCGAGGCTTTGCATCTATGGTTCTACAGATTACGACCTCACAATATCCGCTTTGGTTCGCGCCTGTGGCTTTGCTGGTTTGTGAACGATTTCATCGAAGGCTATACCGCATTACAGCGATTCGATGCCCTCGTAGCAGAGAAACGGGCCGGAAAAGCACAGCATTAGCCAAATCTTCAGGGCTAAGAGTTCTTGGAGAAAGAGATGTAAAGTGTCCGTCCATTCATAGTTTTTATCTGCGAGGGTAGAAAGTCTTGTGGTTGGATTTCGAGATGGCAAGAATGTTAATCAGGTGACTTGCATTTGTGGCAAATATTGATATTGATATTGATCTTGTGTTGTGAAATCTAGCCAGATATCCATAGTCCGTTTCATATAACTATTAGTGATAATTCCATAAGATTTTGAAAGTTTAGATGTGGCTAAGATTTTTCGGGGCCGCGGCGCGACGCCCATTGGTTCCACGTGACTGACTGCGCTAGTCCGCATGAGGCTAGAGCGAATAGGGCACACTAAGCGAGCAAGTCTCGGTAGGCACACTGCGAAACGAAATTCAAGCCCCGTCGCTAAGTCGTTCTATTATCTCGACCACGACAACCCATACGACAACCCAGCGCGCTGTTTCCGGTGAACGACCACAGGTTTTGAGGTTAGTTGAAAGACTTGTTTTGTTATTTCTCCCATCAGATATCCGGCCTGGTGCAATTTCTCGAATCGTCGAAAAGAAAGGAAGAAAAAAAAAGTTTCTGCAAAGAGTGGTCTTTGACCGCTGTGTTTTGTGATTCTCGGGCTGTTGAGGAATATCAAGGACGAGATCAAGTGAGCGAAAGAATAGACGACAGGGTTTTCCAAAAAAAAAAAAAAAATCAGCAACAGCCTTTGGAATTGCATATTCACGGTCGATACATGCTCCCTTGAAGTTTCAGTTCTCGATTCTTCTTTCACCTGGCCGGATATCTTTTTTTCAGTTCATCTTACCACCGCAATCCCAGTGACTAACACTCTATCTCGACAGTGGTCCAGTTTATCAAACGCGAATATGGGTATCTCTCGTGATTCTCGCCACAAGCGCTCGGCCACCGGTGCTAAGAGGGCCACCTACCGTAAGAAGAGGTACGATATCTCATGTCCCGAGCGTTGCGATGTGTGCTGGTGAATTGTTAAACTTACCACTCTTTTGCTGTACAGAGCCTTCGAGAAAGGTCGCCAGCCAGCCAACACCCGTATCGGCAACAAGAGAGTCCACGTTGTCCGCACCCGCGGTGGAAACACCAAGTACCGTGGTCTGCGCCTCGACTCCGGTAACTTCTCGTGGGGATCTGAGGGAATCTCCCGCAAGGTCCGCGTGATCGTTGTCTCCTACCACCCTTCCAACAACGAACTTGTCCGCACCAACACCCTCACCAAGTCCGCCGTCGTCCAGGTCGACGCTGCTCCTTTCAGACAATGGTACGAGGCACACTACGGTCAGAGCATTGGCCGACGGCGCCAGCAGAAGTCTGAGGTCACCGAGGAGAAGAAGAGCAAGAGCGTTGAGAGCAAGCAAGCTGCCCGATTCGCTGCTTCCGGCAAGGTCGAGTCTGCTTTGGAGCGCCAGTTCGAGGCCGGTCGTTTGTACGCCGTTGTCTCCTCCCGCCCTGGCCAGAGCGGTCGTGTCGACGGATACATTTTGGAGGGTGAGGAGTTGGCATTCTACCAGCGTGCCATCAGGAAGTAAATGAAAGTTGTACTTCCAATCAAATATGACAATATAATTTTTTTCAAAATTGCAAAAGAAAAAAAATTACAAGAGAAATTACATGCGATGGCTGGTTTGCAATGTGCATGGGTGGTATTGGAGTTTTGCAATTCAGCAATTCCTTTCCAGAAACAAAAAATCATGTTTTTATGATCTGGGGCATCTACGGATGCAAACGTCTGTAGAGCTTCGAACTGTCTTACCAATGGAACGATTTTTTTGCCTTTACTCTCTCGTCTTGAGACAGTGTTTGTAGTTATGTACGTTGTATACTTTGCAGGGAGATGCGGCTGGCCAATTATCGATGATTGGTCACGTTGTCCGGCTTTGTGACGCAGCTTGCCTCTACCTCAATTAATCTACGTATAGCCAGCCATATGATTAACCAGAACGAAGAAAAACGTAAAAATGAGTTCAGAGTCCCAAGCCAAACCAACCGTCAAGACTCGAGTATGCATGATATCAGATACACACACTGCAACCCCCTTCCCAGCAGGCGCCCTCAACAAAGCTTACAGATACCCACTCCCCAAATCCGACATCTTTTTACACGCAGGAGACCTGACAAGAACTGGGCGCCAGGCCGAACACGAGGTCATAGTTGATATGCTCAGAAGGGACGTTGATGCAGAACTGAAACTCGTCATTGCCGGCAACCACGACCTTACGCACGATAAGGAGTACTATGCTCGCAAAGGTCTAATGAGACATGGATCGGCGCGATTAGAAGATCCAGATGCAAACCGGGCTTTGTACACGGATGAATCAGCCAGGAACGCTGGTATTGTGTACATGGAGGAAGAGGTGAGGACATTCAGTTTGAAAAACGGCGCGCGGTTCACAGTATATGCATCGCCGTATACGCCTGAATTCTTTGGGTGGGCTTTTGCCTACGAGAGGGATGAAGATCGATTCAATCCTTCGACTCCGATGTCTTCTCGCAATGTGAAAACTTGGGTGCCGTCCTTCCCGGATGTCGATATTATGCTTACTCATGGCCCCCCTCTCGGATTTCTGGATGATGTTGGTGGTATGCGGAAGGGCGTTGGGTGTGAAAGCCTTCTCAAAGCGTGCGAACGTGCCAGACCCAGACTACATGTATTCGGGCATATCCACGAAGGATTCGGTGCGGTGCGACATAATTGGAGCAACGATAATGATAATGATAATGACAGTGACGCCGGCGAGATCTCGCTAGACTTCGACACGGCTCTAGAGCAGAGATGCTACAGCTACGATATGTCTAGCGATGCAAAGAAACCACTGAAGTTTGGCGAGGAGACATTATTCGTGAATGCGAGTGTTGTGACGGTGAGATACCATGCTAATAATGCACCGTGGGTCGTCGATCTGGATTTGCCTCTTGCTACTTCCCAGTAGCATCCCAGGAAGGACGAGATTCAACCCAACAATAAATGTTCTTCCCTTCTGAATTGCACAAAGATTGATAATTTAATGATCACAAATTAACGACATGACAGTGAGTGGTTGTTACGAGGTACACTTGGGACGCTCATCTTTATAGACGGCATTGGTACAAACAACCTTGAAAAGTCTAGTCATGAAATTAGAGAGTTAATGAAGACCGAGTGTGCACTCATCCCTAGAACAGATCGATTGGTTCCACCAATTGTTTATACATACATGGGTAGAAGAAAAGAGTAATGTTTTTTTCCAAAAAGAAATATAGATCAATCGGTATGAAAATGGAAAATAAAAAAATTCAGAGAACACGCAGTGTCTCAACTTTGCCTGTAAGACTGGTATCAAAAAAGTAGAAATGTAAGACATCAAAGAGAAGAAATAACAAGTCCATGTGAAAGATGAAAATCAAGAGAGAAAAGTAATAAAAAAAAGTATAGTGGGCAAGCTTTTATCCTTTGAAAATCCAAAATTGAAAAAGGAATGATTGGAATGTAATGCACATGACTCAAAGGGAAAAAAATTTAGGAAGAAATTAACAAGATCACTGATCATTCTTCGTGCAAAGGCTCAACTAGGATACCATTGCTGCCGTTTCCACCGTCACGAACATTGAGCCGGCTTGATTTCTTGTTGATGCCCTTTAATATGCTGAATCTTTTCTTGACCGAATCGCGAACTCCACCAGCTGAAGCGGAAGATCCATTAGAGTTGTTTCCATGGCTTTGTTCATAGGAATTTGCAGCAGATATCGTGACTGAGTGGTTTTTATTCAAGTACCCAAATCGTTCAGACGTTGAAGGACGTTGTTCAGACTGGGAGCTTCGTGGTAAGGCTGTTTGCGCACCGTTCCATTCTCCGCTATTTAACACGGGCGTGCTCTTTTTCGATTCCAGTCTGCCGTTTCGTGCCGACTCTCCACCTTGCGACTTGATAGACTTATTCGTTGCACTACGAGCCCGTGACTGATCTCTGTGTTGCTGGTCTCGCTGATGATCATCAGCAACATACCCAGTAGTTGTCGTTTTGTATTTCATCTTGGGATCACCACCAAACCAGCTTCGTCGCCGGTCGCTCTTACCGCCACGGCTAGTGGCATGTGAGTGAACTGTTGCTGCATCGTCATCATGATCCTGAATGGTAAGGGATTGACGGCTAGACTGCGCATCCGCCAGCTGTCTCAAGTCGGGAGACCCGTGCACGGTGTTTGCCGTTGCAACAGAAGCCGATGCATGATGATTAGCCCTTTTGAACGGGTTCGCAATGCTAATACGATGGCTGAGTGAGGGCTTTGCAGTGTGCCTCCGCTGACTGTTGGATCGTGAACTGCGTATAAGCTCTTGCTCTGGACTGAATGATCGACCTGCTAGTTCCGCGTTTTGCCCATTGGTATGGGGAGTTGATCGATTACTCGAATGATTGGCGCTCTGAGGAGGTGAAAGTGTTTGTGTTTGTGCATGCGCAGCAAGAGACGCGATCTCCGGGCCAAAAGCATATTCAAATCGATTAAGAAGTTCAACCTGAGTAGCTTGATAAGACGGCCGAGAGTACAGTGCCACACAACGCTTGATCGTAAGCGCATGGTCTATCAGAGCGACTGCAAGTGCATTTTCTAGCGGGTCAATTGGTTTCTGCTCGGTCTCCTCTTCTTCGTCCTCCTGCCCTGCCTCATCTTCATCATCATTACCCTTGGCTAAGAACGGGCGGTAGACTGCAACACAGCTAGAGTGCGCCGCTTCCAAGTCAAGAAGTTGCACCAAAGCTTCTGTCAGCCCCGAAAGGGTGGAATCATCGCCAGAAATTGCATGCTGTTCAAGCAAGTGTAGTTCCTGTGTCTTTCGCCATGTCCGCTCAATAGCGGTCTGCAGGGGCGTCAATCCAACCACGTCGGTGCCTACAATTTCGCTTCGGCGCAGAATATTGGGAAATGGCTCAGCCGTCGTAAAGATTGTCTTCTCAACCCATTGCTCTTTGACATTCAGACCGCTGGTGTGGCGTTTGGAAGTATAGGAGAATTGGACAGGCACCGATATAAGTAGGTGCTCACGTACAGAGTGAGGCACCTTGGAACGTTGATATACCGGATGCAGGATCTCCCTATGAGGGCTAACAGCACTGATCTGCAAAAACTGGCCTTCGATATCTTCAATATTCGATGAAGATGCAATCTGCGCAGCAGGGTGCAGCTTCTGAATGCGATCCGTGAATGAAACCATGCGCTCATTTGGTGAAGCCTCGAAGATAAATTGCTTGTCTCGGAGAGTTGGAGGGAATCCCAGTCCCTTATAAGAGACGCGGAAATAACGAGGAAAACCTTTCTCTTCTTTAGAGATCATTTCATAGATCTTGGCCATAGAGCCCTGTGCTCGTGAAAGTTTTCCAAAGTCCATGACTATATGCTCATACTGTTCAATCAACTCTTTGTAGCAAGCAAGGGCATGTGTCCAAGCCTTTCCATCCTCAAAGTACTGAATAATCTCGAAATACAAGGCTTCTTTTCTCTCAAAAGCAGACTGTTCTGGATATGCAGGGTTTGATAGCGCCGGGACTATCCTTGTCGGTTCCCATGAATATAGATCGGCATGAAACTGCAGGGCAAGGCCAGCTTGGGTGTGGTTCTGCTCAGCGGCTTGAGATTGGGCCAGTTCGTGCACATATCGTATGAAAATGTCCTCCCTGTCCATATCTTTCATGAACTCCATGAGTCGCAGCGTATGTAGGTTCTCGGTGATACCGCCACTGTTACACGCTACCAAAAGTTCAAGGAGTTCATCTATCGTAGCTATGAGACCCTTCACGTCTGTGGCCAAGGCCTCATCCGAGTCTTGAATTTTTTCGAAAAGGTCCAGTAATTCGGTGATGAAAAGCTTTTGCGTGATGCTCTCATTCATATTTTTCTTTTGAAAAAGGATATCAAGGCTCGTGACTATCTCCATCTCAATGATGGATAGATCTTGGTTGAGATCCCACTCGCTGATAATCATGGTTTGCAAAACCTCGACTGCAACTCGCCGGAGGCCTTCGTGAACGCTAAGACACAATTCAATGATCCCAGGGACAAGATTGGGAACATATTGCACCTGGTAACCGCCCAATTTGTGCAAATCATATTTTGTTCTCTCATCTTCGGTAGTCTCCCATCCAATTGCCTCCCAAGTTGTTCGCAAGAGTGCGGCACCTTGTTCACGAACATCGCCTCCAATTTTCCAAACCGCTCTGCGTTTCTGTTCGGGGAATGTTTCGAGAACAAGTGCATCACTCGATACCACCTTCAGCAATGTCGTAAAAAAGAGCTCCCACAATTTCATATCAAAATTGTCAGCCTCGTCTGGCGGGGGGAGGAACGAACTGGCCAATAGAGACGATAGGTTTTCAAGATTCTTGACAGCTGCACGATGATTGTATATGTGAAAACTTAGCCAGTCTTCAGGGTAAGCCTCGCAGCTTATTATGGACTTGTGTGCTTCTAGTGTATTAGATATGAAGATGGCCATGTCGTCTGGTTTGAGAATAGGTAGCTTGGGGTTCTGAATGTTGGAAAGGGCAGCTATTAGACCAGCCAGCTCAACGAGAGCCTCGTCAAACTTCTGCTTGCGTTCAGACGCCTTCACCTGAAAGGGAAATGATTTAGAATAGAGCATAGAGAGGTAATCGGTCTCGTCGACACCCTCCAAAGCAATGGCACAGTAGGACGAGGTAATTTTGCCCATGAAGGAATACAGCTGAGGAGAAAGTTGTTGTGTTGAGAACTCTGCCACAATTGAGGTACAAAGGCGTACTTGATCACGATACTGATCGGAAACATCACCAGTGTTGCCCCAGTATGGGTCAAGCCATCCAAAGCAGCAGGAAATCAAAGTATCTCTATCTTCTCCAGAAGCGAAAATGTTGAGCTTGGTGTAATTTTGGATCAAAATAAGTTTATACAAGACAAGCATTCCTTTGACGTCCTTACAAGAGTCCATGAAGCTCAACGCAATCATTATGATCTCGTCATTGGGAAGGACATTTGCAAGTTCGGGAAGCCATGTGTGAAAGTGTTGCACCACCAGAGTCTTACTGCCAACCATGACAGGAGAAGGATTCTTCATTAAGGCCTCGAGAGACTTGAATATTGAGTGCAGGTCGCGGTTGAATGTCGGTTGCACATTCCTGACGCCAATGCCCTCTTCTTTAAGCTTTTGCTGTTCACGAGCATTGATTATGAACTTCAGCAAGTGCCGTCCAACTTTAAAGGCGGCACGAAGATTGCGCGACTGTTGTGGAGTATCATTCCATTGTAAGAGCCGCAAATAGCTTCGGATCAAGCATGGCGTGGCAAAGGGAAAATTGAACTGTTGTTCCGTGTAATGGTCCACGAGAGGACCGAGATTGTATCGTCGATCGTGAGTAATACCTAGTACTGTCACCAAGGCATTGAAAATGAGATCTTCGTATTCTTCACTCCCCGCATTTTCAACAAGAATTCCGAAAAGAGCATCGAAGACATCACGCAACTGCTTCACAATTTCAATCTGAGGAACAAAGAGTATACGGCGCAGGATTTCCAAGACCTCATTGCCTGTTTGCTTCCTCCAGTTAATAAGCCCCAGTATGATTTGATCTTGGGAATATTGTGTACTGCAGAGGTTTGTCTCAACATGGACGGTGGATAGGGGCCCTGTTACGGATTCATCTGGAACAGAGGAATTTTTGTTCAGTGAACTCCATGGCAGACTGAGATACGCCCCTCTTCCATCTTCGTCCACACTCGATGTGATCTTGTCGTACGAGTGAAGGAGCAGTGAATGAGGTCCGTCATGTATGAAGGCTTGTTGGTTCCAGAGGGGTAGCCAGCAGAGTGCGAACGGAAACTCTGGCGCATCCGCTATGCTCATGATCACATGGGCTCCAGGGACCTGATCAGTTGGAATTCTCAGTCGAATTGTCTGGTCCCATGGCAGATTCCTGTCCGTCACAGTAGTCCTCCAAGCAGTATGGCCGACGCTATTTGAAGAAGCAAATATGCAACGCTCCAGACGCGCTCCGTTACCGTTGCGCACCTCAAGAGTTAACTGAAGGTTCCGGAGGCCAGTGTTCGCAGGAACAGGCACTTGTCCAGCCTGAGGATGGCACAGCAGAGCAGGATAAGGAAATTTTGCACGAGAGATAGTCAGGTAAATATCCGATCTTGAGTGTGCAGGGGCAGCTGCGAATCCCATTCTCCGCGTTTGGGTCACATCATGCATCAACGTAGGATTGTTTCGTACAAGGACATCGGCATCAGAGCCGATGAACGGATAGAAGTGAAGATGAAGTTGAGAAGTTTGATGACACTTGGAGTATCGACCAGACGAGCTTGGTATAATTGCGCGAACAAGGTCGTCGAAGCCGTCACTATTATCTCCACCCTCCTCGCTATCTTCACTTACAGGTGACCAAATATTGATAACATGCTCCGCTTCGGTGTTCTGCCTCACAATATGTGCGACATCAAGAATACCGGCGCCCACAGTGCGAATCACTGTCTTGTCTTTAAGAGAGGCATTATCAGATTGACCCTGAGCATCTGCAGAATCTGCACTTCTGGGGGGTGTCTCTCTAATGACTTCTGATTGCCCAGCCCGAGGTGACTTAGCAGTCCAGACCATGCTGCGGCGCCCTTTTGTGCTACCCTTGACGCTGTGCATAGTGGATGGGCTGCGGTTAACACCATCGTGTGAAGTTGAGGATCGCCCGCCATAGGGAACAGAAGGCCGAGGAAGTTCTGCTGATTGTACCATAATAACGAGATACAAGTGCGCATCTCCGCCTGAGCCTTCACTTACATCTGCCGCACATAACTCTGTGAATAAAGTTTTTAGCTTGCTACTATGAGCCAGTGCCATAAAATTGTCTGCAGATTGTATTTCTAGCACATAGGTCTCTGATAATGGCTTCAGAGTGCCTTTGTCTGTTTTTGCAGACAGATACAAGGACAAGGTGACAAGGCCGGGGTGGGAACCTGACATCGTCTTTATCTCGAGCAGAAGGTGACGAAGTGCGGATGAATCTCCATGCTGTCTCGGGTCGGTGTCAAACATGCTCATCTCTGATTGGAGTTTGGTCAGTTCGATTGCCGAGTCATCCCCAGTCAGCAGTCGGCCGTTTTGGTTCAGATCTCGAACAATAACCTCGCCCGTGAGCATTTTGTTCCCACGCACCAAGTTCCACACAGTCGCCTGTCGGACAGCGTCTTTCTCTTTAGAAGTGAGAACATCATGGAGCAACTGTCGCCTAGCGAGGTCTAGCTCTAGAACAACGTTATACATGGTCTCCACAACGCCATATTGCCGGGTGAGGAGCAGCTCGTGGAGGTTTGTTGAATGCCATTCACGCAGGCACGATGCAATCTCATCAACAAGGGGTTCTTCATAGGAAGTTGGCGTTTCATCACCAATCTTCAGCATTGGAACCGGAGCCGCAGGCTTAGAACCGTTGAGATTCCGGGCAATAATTGAGGACGGCGTTAATGGCACCGAGCCAGACCGAAATGTTGCGACCGAAACTGAGCGTTGGTTCACGCCTGCATCCTCAAGAAAGTTGGCAGTGGTCTGTCGATTCTTCTCGACCTCGTCGGGTGATCCATTAAAATAGCCGTTGGATGATCCATTTGCCAACAAGACATCTCCGTTGTCCAGTGCTTTGCGACTCTCCGCATCTCCCAGGTATTCTCGGACTTCGACACAGTTCTTCGGGAAAATACCAGAAAAAACCCGGGCTTCCAAGGTCTGGCCTTTCACGCTAGTCAATCCAGCCAGGAGTGAAGGCGGCGCAACGAGGTATCCTCGATACCACGAGCCATTGGCGCCTCCTTGTTCAATTATGTACAACTCATCGCCAAGTTCGAGGGGAAGATCGGCCGGCGAGGAGGGTTGGAAAGGGAAAATGGCAACTGCGAAAGCAATGCGAGGCAGAGGCCGCCAGGGCATGTCTGCTGCTCGATCGTTCGGCGCACTGGAATCGGACTAACGACAGCCAAGTGTCTCTTGTGAGGGGTCAAGTCGTAGAGGAATCTGAGGAGGGCGCGACATGCAGAGGAATGATTGTGGTTGGTGGGAAAGCAGTCTCGAGGAATGTCGCGTGGAACCTTTCTCAAAGGAGGTTTGCACGGCGATTCGTATACAGCTGAATGGACTTGCTCTTGGCTTCTAAGTCATGACGATCATTGGTTAGCCTAACAGCTCAGCGTTTGGTACACCTCGGACGAGGACTTCCACTCAATCGTCCGTCGCACATGCACGAGTGTCATATCGTCGTGTTATCGACTGCAACGCTATGCAACTGGGGGCGTCTGAGTCTGGCCGTGTTGCGGCACGGACAACAGTGCAGCCCCTTTACGGTAGTCGGATGCCACAGCACCGCCTGGAATGATGGACGCAAGTGGAAAAAGAGGTCCAGCTAAAGCGCTCACTCACCTTTTCTTTTCGGGCTAAATGCTTTCACCTCTTTGGAACAGACTGGACAAGATCCAACCGCATTGACAGGCACGAGAGGGAGGGAAAGAGAGAGAGGACGGACAGCGAAGCCCGGCAGCTGCTTGATTTGTTACGATCAATACGATACCCGATGCCGTAAAATTACCAATTTAATTTACCTGGATCAGGAACTGCTGGACCGTACCACACTTTATATTTAATATTATTATTGCCGTTGGCCATGTATTGACATTGTAACCAGGCAATCTTAAATCTTGATCTTGATAGACTGTGGAGCGAGCAAATCTCTAACGACCCCTTGATGTTTGATGATCATTGCATCGTATTACTGTTTAGTGTTTACTATTTACTAGCTACCCTGGGCTTTTGTATATACTGTACTTCTAATAGACTATCCAACAACGGCATAGTTACGTATATAAATTACATGCGCCTTAACATGAAAAGCGCACAGCAAGGAAATTGATTTCACAAAAAATGATCAACCTTGCGCACCGACTTTACCCAGTGCGAGAAGAAAGAACGAAGACGAAGAATGACACAAATCCAACCAATATGAACAACATGAAATCCCCTGCGAGAAAATGGG